GTTAAGAGAAGGTGAGGGCGGGGTATCGCTCTATTTATCTACGGAGGCGGGCGTTTGTTTGTGCGGGGAGTGGGCCGAGCGTGTTTTGATAGCGCCAAGGCTGCAGTGCGGGTGAGGCGATTAGGCAGAGGCAACGCGTCCGCTGTCCTTGAGTGTGAATGTGAAAGCGTTCGCGTGGGAACTTACCCATCGCGTTGGCGTAGCGACACCGCGCGACCGGGTGGTGGCGTCAGTGTAGGTAAGATAGTGCAACTAAAAAATGAAGAACCGCCATATGTCAGAAAAGTGTGGCAAAATAGGTACTTTGGACACTTCGATAGTATTACATTATGAGCACCTATGTATATAGCTCGAACGCTGTGGTCAATTGTCAGCAGCAAGCATGCAACGATGTACCTGCCCAGACCACCCACCGCCGTGCTGAGTCCTAAACGCTGAAGACTCAGTACGCCTGCCGAGAGCAAAAATCCATATACAATACAGGCCTTCATAAGCACCCCAGACCATCCTCCTCTTATGTATTAGTATTACTCCGACAAACTTTCCCATTCGCCATCCCATTCTCACCACTCTCCTCGAGTCTGAAGTCAGCATTGTCGCCCTGGATTCGCTCGATCTCGTTCTGTATTGCAAGTACCCAATGGTCTCGCTCTGCACGCGATCGCGCCCTAAAGACCACGCTACGGCCTTTACTTCCAAGCTTAGCTACCCTCTTGAGCTTTGTGCGCTTGCCCTCTTTACGAACTTGTTCGCCTCCACCTGCACCCTCCTCAGCGCGGAACCAGCTCTTTGCTTTGCCATGCCAAATGACAAATGTAGTCATGACGTCCTCGTCAGTTGATGTCCAGCCGTCTTCAAGGTAGATTCGTGGGAGGGCGTGGTGTCCTGGCTTGTTCGCATCGAAAGTTTGATTCTGATAGAGGAGGTCATTCTCTGTAAGAAGACCAGAGTAGACGTAGCAGTCCTTGAGATCGAGATTCGCAATGCGCTCGTGGTGGATGTGCGCCAGTTGTTTGCCAACCCTACTTCGCAAGACATCGCGGAAGATAAGCAGTGTGCCGGCAGTCAGCAGAACGCTACATCGTGTGAAGGGCGCATGTATGCGCGGTTTGCGATACAACATTCCGCTCATATGAACGCTGCGACAACAAGCGATACCACACATGTTGTAGAGCTCTGGTGAAGCAAACGATTGAGTCACCTCCCACTTCCTCGCGAATTGCCCAACGTGTGCTTCTGTCTCTTCGTCAATCTTAAGGGCGCTGAGGTTGCGACTACGTGTGGCTTTGTAGAGGGCAATGTCTAATGCGGTACGGTGTTTCCAGTACTTGGCCAGAGCGCGTAGGTGCTGTATCCACTCTTTCCGATGAGCTTTATCTGCGGCCTGTATATCATGTCAGTCAAGAGCAAAGGTGTATGCCAAAGAGTTACGCACCTGTAGACGAATGATGAGGCCATTCTTCATAACCAACTCCAGGGTACGATCGATGTCCAGGTCCTTCGTAGCTCCGTCGTTGCGCATAGAGTCGTCGACCTCCTCGTCAAAGTCCACATCCGAGCCTTCTTCCAGGTCTTCATCGGCAGGACTGGCGCCTAACTGGGCTTTGCGGACTTTGACAACATCTGCCAAGCTGATGTAGCCGTCACAGTTGAGCAGGTTCTGCTCTTTGCGGGTAGCTTCATCTGCTGCATCTTCATCATGCAACCGCCTAGCTTCCGTCGTGCCTGAGTGACCTTCGATCAACCACTCAATCTGCCTATCCTGGAGGCCATACGGATTGACAGCCCAGCTCTCTGGCACCGCGTCTTTGACCGCTTGCGCTGTCGGCACATTGGCATTTCCAGACGCAGGTAGCCTCGGAGGTGGAGGTGGGGTGACTTTTGTGGGTCGTGAAAAGACGAGATACTGATCGTGGCTGGCAAAGTATAGCTGCTTGTGGTACATCAGACCTAGTCGCTTTGCCCGTCCTCGTTGCCCTGTCAGTCTGATAAGAAAGCCTTCAACAGGAACCGGTTCGGTCAAGGTCTTGTGCTTCTTCCGTGTCACTGCTGTTGTAGGATAGTGTGTCTTGGGCCTCAGTTCGAGTTCGTGCGACTTCAGCATAGCTATCGTGCCGTACATCTTCCGCTCGTTCGCGCCATGTATCCACTCAAGTCGATCATAGCGCTTCCAGGCGAGACCTATACGCTGGTCCTTGATCCACGATTCCAGCACGTCAGCCCACTCCGGTGCATCTTGCAGTTGATCTAAGCAGCGCTTGATCAAATCTTGAGCAACCGCCTGTTCCTCTTGCATAGTCCTCAGCAGAGCCTCCTCGGTGTTCTCTGCATCCTGAACTTTGTTTTGCGATGCCTCTAACTTCTCGAATGGGTTGGCAATCCGTATGCTCAAGCTCATGTCTGGTATGCTGATCTGGAGCTCGGAAGCACGCTGCCAGCCAAGGACGTTCCGTAGGAAAGTATACCACTCTACTGCATTGGACGCGGTTCGAGCTTGCATGATGAAGATCAGGGTTTCGCGTGAACCTGGTGAGGACACGACCATTGACTTGTCCAACGATGAGTAGAGATTGACCTTGCAGGTCTTTTTCCCCAGCGGAACTTCATAGGCAGCCTTCTTGCCCGCTCCTGCATTCTCAATTTCAGGGATGACCTGTGAAGGAAATTAGTAGCTTGACGCATATGAAAGCAATGGGCAAACGTACCCGTGTCTGGTAGAGCTGCAGCAGAAATTCTGCGTCATTGGTATGGCTGTGGCGACAGACGACCATGTACTCCCGCCATTTATCTTTGACACGGGAGACGACCCTCTGGTTGACGTTTTCATCAAAGTCTTCGGGAACTTCAGCGGCGGCATCTACTCGCACAAGCATGCGTTCCATCTTGACGACAAGCCCATCTTTGATCTTCTGCCGCCTTATCTTGGTGCCAGCTCGCTGAACAGTCATTTGCGCCTTCTTCGCTTTGAGCTGGATCGTGGCACGTCGGGAGTCCTCCGGGATGTCAAACTTCACAAGGTTCCGCAGATTCGACTTCTTGCGCGTCAGATCTCCCGTGTTAGGGTCCGTGTCTTGGGGCAGTTCCGCGGAAGAGGACATCATGCCTGATCTTCTCCTCACTCTTGCCATTATACCCTTCGCAGGCGGTTTCGAATCGACATTAGCGGAGGCCGGTGCCTTGTTCATGTCAGCCTTACGCAGCAAAGACGATGTGGATTTTGCATCTACAGAGGCTGCTCCGGTAGCTGATGCAGGACTCCCAAGGCTCTCTACATTCGACAGTGGGCGCTTGCCTAATGACGTCGATCCTGCCTGCCGTTGGCCTGAAGGAACTTGTAAGCCACTTGCCTGTGCGTGCTGTTGTTGCTCCTGCAGCGGCCTTTCGTCCGATCCTTGTTCGTCGTCATCATCTTCGTCTGCGGGTATCGAGGACGCAGTAATATACGTCTTGTCCGTACTCGATCGGCGGACTGTCCGTTCGTTGGTGGGAATGCGCTCGATGTCGTCGTCTTCCGGCTCCGAGGGCGCGTCTACAAATTCTTCGTTTTCGTCATCGTCCATGACATCGCTCTTGTGATCTGAAGCGCGCGGGACTTGCAAGGCGGGTGGAGTCGCCGCAGTCGCATCCGCCGCGCCATTGGCCCCGCTAGCCTCGAGCTCTTGCGCTCCTTCCTCATCTTCTGCTTGGAGTTCTTCGGGTTGGGGGAAGCTGTGCTGGAAGAGGGCGGACGAACTGGGGCCTTCGAGGCCACTCAGCCGCCGTTGGCGCGCCTCACGCGGGTCTGAGGAGAAGGTCGCGGTACGCGTCGAGTAGTTGATTCGAAGATGGTGCTTGTACCTGAGCGTGCGATGTCAGTACATGTGGCATAGGCAGTTCCTACAGCGACATCTCTTACCAATCGGAGCGGTGCTTGGTCAGCCATGCCGTGGGGATAGGACCGATGAAGTAGCGTCTCGTCGTGAGATGCAGATGCTCGGGCGTGGCATGTTCCTACTCCTCTTAGCTTGCGACATGCGTGCGGTAGTCTGCAGCCATGCATACCAGTCGCTGCGCAGTGTACGAGTCGGGGGGCAGATTAGTAACGTCAGGCTGGTGCCATGAGCGGCGCTGCTGGTCGGGCATTGGACCTCTCCTATCTCCTTCTGGCCGCGGAGGTGCGCTCCTTCAAGTCACGGTCGGGTGGGAGTGAATACATAAACCACTAAACAACATACATTAAGTTAAGAAGCTAGTAAGAGGCGCGACTACTTTGCATAAGGAGAGGCAGCCACGAGCGCGTGGCGGGCGTGCGACTAGGAAAGCAGGCGCGGGCGAGGGCCGAATTGGCGACGGCATCCTAGCCCTCGTCATCGTTGAGGTGCCCAGCCCGAACCCCTGTGCAGATCATTATCACAGATCTTCTCGTCGCTAGACCAACGACAATATTCGCAGACATGCGATAATCATTCCAGCATTTCAGACAGGCTTCAAATGAGCCGGCGGGGTATCTAGGCGTAAGCTGTTCTCCACGTTTCCGACACGCTTTAGCGTCTCCTCCAAGACAATCCGCGATTCGACGACATCTCAGAAAAAGCAACCTACCCTCTTCTGACTTGACCCATTTTACGGCAGATGATCTCTATGCATTTATTCGTACACCAAGCAGCTATTGTTTTTGTCAATCCACGTGTGTCCAGTCTTACCTACCAGGTTCCGGTCCCACAACACAGTTGTTTGGTTCCGATTCATCCAAGCGAAGAGACCACCAACTCGCCAAAACGTGCAGTTTCAGATCCCAAACTACCCATTCCGGCAATTCTTTCGCAAAACTGCTGATTCCGGTCTCGGGTGATCTGCTAAGTGGCGTTGCCTGCTACGAGGGTCTTCCTGGTCAGCACGATCTTGACAACTTGGTGGCACAGGCGTATTCGCATGCATAGTGCGAAAAGGTCAATCCGTGACTCGCTGACTGTGAGGCTGTAGGTTTACAAGAACGATTTCATGTCGTCGCATATGTCCATTCACAACTCTGTATTCTCCTTCTTCTTCTCCGCTTCTAGCAACGTTCGCCATGCGATCTCAGCCGCGCCCCTCGCTGCTACATATCCAGGGTTATCATACAGGATCCTGGCCTGGAACCCATACAATCTGACCGCTTCTGCAATTGCCGCTCGAATCTCCTCGCGGCCAACACTTTTAGCGCTTCCCGTCATTATGATAATGAATTCCTTGGGATAGACAAAAGGATATTTCGTGTAACCATGATACACCTTGCGCAAGTACTCTAGCACAAATTCGCGTGCCTGCTCCTCAGACGCTGAACTGCTGCTGCCCAGCTCAAAACTCGACCGGAAACAGTCGACATTCGCGAGATTGCGAGCATGTGTCATCGGCTTGCCATGCAGCAAAATCGCAGTTTCGGTATACTCAACAAGGACTGTGTGTCGTCCACCGTACTCGTGTGGCTTCTTGCCACGAGTTACCAGTTCAACGTCGCTCTCATCCAGCCCCATTCCATGCCCGGCATATGCGGCAGTGAGTTCATGCACCTGATACCCCAGGTCCGCCGTCAGCGTGTAAAGTCCGGTGTACTCGGCCGCGTCTGCGACGCATTCCTGATATAATGCCAACAACGGGGGAAAGCTCAGCATCGCCCATGGCCGAAAACCAAGTTTCTTCTCCGCCATCTTCGTTGTCTTCTTGAGCATAGCGGCTAATGTAGCTGCATTGCCAGAGCCTGCCAGGCCAAGCTTCTTTCGTGTGTTCCGCCATAATGTTCGTGGCGCGTCATTCCACAGATCTTCCATGCTGCCATATGGTCGGCTAGAATGTACATGGTCAATACTTGTATGTATAACAACAGGAAAGCCACGACCCACGTTATATGTTCTGAAGAAGGCAAGGAGAGACGTCGCATCATCTGCACATATGCCTTCGATGCCTCCACTCGACCCAGGTTCTCGAAAGTGCCATTTGGCCATCGGACTGCTGCTGTCGCATGATTTGCAGTGAGCGAAATACCGACCACAGGTAACTTCGATGTCGGCTTTTCCCGCATGTCAAGTGCGATGGCCTGAGCGTAGGAGATGGCAAGCCGGATTGCTACTACACCAACGATGACAGACAAGATTTTGAACATTTTGCTCGACTATTCAAAGACACAATACTCTGGAGGGTCAACAAGTAAGTGCATCGTGTTCGAAGGGTGGTGAGTAGTCGCGATGGCAAGCGGCACAGTAATGGCTGCTGCCTACATCCCGCTGCGCGCGGGGTACGTCTGTTCCACTTCACACCACGCTTACTACTACTCGCAGTTCCAGTCGCTTTCCAAACACTGTTTTGATGGTACATGTTCGTTAGAAGTCATCTTAACACAGATCTCGCTATCATTATGTGACCACGTCATCCTCATTCCGACCTCATCCTTTCGCTTACAGAAGCATCGCCCTTATCAATCTCTCGGATGATATGATCCACCACGATTATCTCCCCATCCACCACGGTGCGCCCCATTCCTTTGATCTGTCTGCCTTGGCGACTCGTACTCCCTCCTCGCGTACACTGAGCGAGGCGCATATGCGGAAGAAGGTGATGGCGTGCCCCAGGCCCGGTCGAGGTACATGGGCTCAGGCGTTCCATGAAACTGTCTACCAAACGCTTGCGTCGATGAACCTGCAACGCGGTGACCAAGTGGCCCACCATTCGGTGACTGTGAAGCAGATGTTCTCCTCGGTGCCGGAGCGAGGGTACGCAGCGCTTCAGCCGTGAGGCTCGTTCGGGGAATGCGATCAGGCTTCTCGGCACCGTTCTCCGCCTCCACAATCGGTTCGGACTTCTCTTCCATCACATGTGGTTGTTGCACTTCCACGTTCTCCGACTGTTCTTCACGACCCGTATCGGCAGCTGCTCTTGCAGCCCACTTGGCTTCCAACATCTTTTTCCCCTCCGCGGTCACCCGCTCAGTCATCCGGTTCTCGGCTTTCTCGATCCCCAGCTTGAGCGCTTCGCCCATGGCGCTGTGGAGGGCGAGGAAAGGGACCGTGAGGACGTGGCGGAGCTGGAGTTGGTACTCGAGCTTGACTTCGTGGTTGTCTAGGTTCATGTGCAGTTGCGATCTCTTCTGCGCGGTATCCTCTGCCTCTGTCGACATAGGTCTGGCTGGCTCGTAATACACCTTCCGCTCCTCAAACCTCCCCTTCTCTTTCCACTCCTTGAGCGCGTTGCAATCCAGATTCTGCGGACCATACCGCTTGAGCGGGATGCGAAGCGCGCGGATCAAAGCTTGGGTATGCAGGACATTTAACTCCAGCTTTGGCGTAAAAGAGTCCCGGACATGGAGATACCAGCTCAGACACTCCGTGAGGCCGCGAGCATCAAGACCCGACGGTAGATGGTTCAGGCCAGCGAGGAGATCACCGAAAGTCGGCAAAACATAGCCACTACGTCTGTCCGCGATGTATCTGCCTGGCTCCAGGCGGTCGGTATGTAAGTTTGCATCGTGCTTTCCGTTGATAGTGTCAGTCTTGAAACCCTCAATGATCTTCTTGACTGAGTCGCGTTGGAACTGGTTCATGACTGCGGCTGTGATGTCCGTTGTTGGGGGGCCACGGAAGAATGCCTGTGTATTGTCAGCTACAGATCATCTCATGGTACTAGAAGAACGAAGACGTACCTGCATACCAACGATATCCGCACCGCGATAGTCGTTGTTCGCTAGTCGGACCATCATGCTTTTCCACCGGACGTGATGGGGGTAGTAGGCCATGACTTCTTTGGCGGATAGAGGTACCCCTGGGGGGAGTAGAGCGTCTACGGGGACTGCGTCGTTGTACCATGTATAATGCACTCCAAGATCCTTGCCTACGAATCCGGGTTTCTGTAGAACCCCGCGGACTGCCCGCATATTGAAGTTTTTTGTTTCGTCTACCCATGGACGCTGGAAGGGAGGATATGTGTGTACAGATTCGCCCGAATGCGACATGTGTGGTGTGTAGAGCGAGGCCGCGGTGCGAGCTGTGGCAGGGGTATGAGGATCGAAAGGTATGCTGGAGTTCGCAGGTGTGTCTGGTATCTGTTGGAGATGCATAGGGCCTGGTGTTGAGACAGCCGGAAGCGCATCCTCTATGATGAGCCTGCCTGAGAAGCGCAACCTGACGGTTAAGCTATAGGTCTGGTAGTCTGGCTCTTCGCCCTCTACATCGTCATGGCTGATCCGCTGGCGCCTTGCTACTGACATCCATACGTTCTTCTTCGCAGTCTTTGACTTTGACTTCCTCTTGAATGCTCGGATCTTTACGGTGGCTTTTGGGATATCCGAGAGGGCTCTCTTCTTTGCGCTTTTTGGAGTAGCCGACACCGCGGCGCTTACATCGATCGCTTTGATGTCGCCATCGCTTGGACCACTGCCACTCCCACTTCTGCTCTTTCCCGGGTCGGCGACCTGATAGTCGTAGTCCATGTCATCCCATGCCGACCGATCGTTGGGCGCGGTTTCGTTGTCATCATGTTGGAAGACGCCGGTTGCGTAACGCCAGTCGCGGCTTTTGGGAACCCAGGTTGAGTGCTTCTGTGGCCGCGAATGGCGCGCAAGGATATTTTCTTCTTTCATGGTCGTGATAGCGAAGTAGGTCGCGAACTTTTCCGCTGCTGTCGCGGTATCGTGACGCTAGGTCAACGTTCGTGGAATGAGGCAAGAGTTGGGTGAGTTGAGAGAAAAGGTTCTGGAGATCACGTCGTGAAAAGCACATGACGCACTGGTAAACACGGGCCCATATTCGCGTATCAGGCATTTTGGCAAGTGAAGGTAGAAAAGGCACGTGAATGTCGCCCAGTGGCCGCCTACATACCCTTGGACATATACTGCCCATCATCATAGAGTGAAAGGAAGCCATAGCGATGCGTAGTCAGTCTCTCGTACCTTTCAGAACTGAGATCCCGATACGCATGTCCGAGGACGACAATACCTACTATTCATAGCGCTCCGTAGACCACTGACCCTACCTCGAACCCCGACAGAATCTTCGCCAAGAATTGAGAGAATAAAAAGATGTCCGTCTCTGCTTCTTAGAATTCTTGAACGAGAAGGAAATACGTGGACATAGGAAACCGCGAGATGTGAACAGACGGCCAAACAGACCAAGAACGAGATGTGGCCAGGCAGACTCGAAATGTCAGTCATCGACGAATATTGTCACTGTAAAAAACAGGCCAAGCAATCTCGTTGAACGGGCTATCGTCATCGCAGGTCACCGTGATAGCACCCTCCCGGGCTCGCACTTCCGGAGTCCTCCAAGGCTTTTCATGTGAGATATGCTTGCCGAGACATCAGTCTAGGCTGTGCGATGCAACTTGATGACACCAATCGCAAAGGTATCAGAGTCCTGTCAAAGGATAAATGCGAGAGCAGGTATGATTAATGAACATAGTGAGCTGATGTTGCCTTCGATGAAGCGGACCCGCGCGAAAGCAAGCGCTTCCGCAACACGGGCCAATCAAAGCGCCCCTACGTCATTATCCTGCAATATCCGAGGTCCATCATCAGCACCATAACACCGCGTCCAGCAGCGCATTGCTACCACCCGACTATCAAACCTCTCTACCAAAAGTCATCATGAGCACAAAATCCATCCCAACGCTAACCCTCGACGGTGCGCGCATCGCCCTCGCCGCCGCCGAGCAGCGCTCCAAAGAAATCAACGTACCAATGAACATCGCCATCATGGACAACGCATGCCATCTCCTAGCATTCGCCCGAATGGAAGGCGCAAAACTCACATCCATCAACATCGCCATCGACAAGGCTTTCACAGCTGCAGGTCACCGCGCGCCTACGTCTGTTTACAAAGACAATGTCTATCCTGGTGGGCCGGCGTATGGCATCAATCACAGCAATGGAGGCAGGTTCATGACGATTGCGGGTGGTGTCCCGATTGTGAAGGATGGGGTTGTTGTGGGGGCGGTGGGGTGTAGTACGGGGCTGCCGAGTCAGGATGAGGATGTTGCGAAGAGAGGGGTTGAGGCTGTGCAGAAGAGTTTTGAGGTTAAGGCGAAGCTATGAGTTAGTTCAAGAGCAAGGAGGAAGAGAAAGATATGGACGATGCAGCTGAGTCGTTGCGTCGTTGCAAGAGACGACCGAATTCACGTCCTTGATCGCGATACTCATTGGCATCTAGTGTCATCCAAATTCGCATTGTGTTTCGGCAAGCTACAAGTTCCTCATCCCACTAATTCTTACACATACGATCGCAACACTTCTCTACCAGCGATGCACCGGAGGCTTCAGACTCATCACACCAAAACCATTCGCGTTCGCATCCCTAGGATGGTTTCTGACACTGCGAATAGTACTCGTCGACCTTGAAGCAAACCAGACCCTGGTTACAAGTCGTCGAGCCCTGCCACGTCTGCCCACCGCACTGGTCATAGAGCTGTACTGGGCCCGTAGCCGATGGTGGCGCAGGTCTAGTCGTGGTGGTGCGACGGGTGCGAGTGAATGGCGGGGCTGGCTGAGCAGGCGGAGTGGATGTAGGTCTAGCAGTTGTCTGAGTTCGCGTGCTGGTGGATCTCTGAGATGAGACCGGTGGCTGACATTGCGAGTAATCTACAATACGTCAGCATGAGATTAGGGATGGCATGCATGACATGATCGAAGTAGCGCGACTCACATTCATCGACTCTCACGCACACCGAGTCCTTGCATGTCCTGGGACCAGTCCAACCATTCCCACCGCATTGGTCATACGGTAGACCGATAGTAGGTGCGGCGCTAGCAGAAGTTGTAGTCGTTGGGGTTGTTCTTGTGTTAGCTGGGTCCGCGAGGCAATAATACGAATTCTCGTCGACGTAGGTACAGACGGTACCTCCCACGCATCGGGTGGGACCTTTGTAGGACTTCCCACCACATTGACCTCCCGGCTGTACAGTACCAGAAGATATTGGGGCAGATGTTGTAGGCGTCGGCGAAGGAGTATTCTGCCCCGGGATCGGGTCATCGTTGCGGCGGCAGCCAGACACGCCAGACAAAGCTTCAGGGCACTTCACCTTCTCCCAGTTGACCGAAGGATTGTCAGCTCCTCGAAACCAGTCGAACCGCCAGTAACAGCCAGCTTGCAGCGCAGCGGGGAGTGCGTCGCAGTCGTCGCGATGCGCTACGCCACCATAGTCTTGACCCCAAACGTCTGCGCCTCCATATTGCTTCGTGCATCCCTGGGTGGAACCTTCGCCACCACCAGGGATGGCAATGTTGAATTGATCTTCCCCTAGATCAGATCCAGTGTTCGTGACCTGAACGATCATCTTCTTTCCGTTGACTGGCCCGGAAGTAAACGTCAGACTAGAGTCGGTCAGTCACTGCTCGTTCATCAAATTGAAGAAACATACGAGTAGCAAGAGCAACACCACGCAGATTCATTCGAAGCTGCAAGATTCACTGCGGCGAAGCCATAAGCCAAGTCGTTACTCGCAGCCCATGGGCTGAGATCAGAGCAGGCATATGAGCCACCGCCGCTTTCGCAGCCGTCGCGCCTGTTATAGTTGTCGAGGAGATTATCGCTTGCGTCGCACGTCAGGACTGGCTTATCGACAAGAGCTTTGCCGGGCCAAGAGCAGGAGTTCTTGCAGCAGGACCATTGGCGTGTGGTTGATCCCGTGCCTTGGACGGCACTTCCAGCGCTGTAGGCAAGGGCGAAGAAGCTCGACGTGACAGCGGAGAGAAGGAAGATCCGCATCTTGGAATTTGAGGTATGATACTGCAAGAGAAGAAGACTGTATGAGCAAGCCGAGATGACCTGATCAAGATGAGGTTGTAATCGACGAGACGTGAAGCTTTTATATACCCTCATCGGGTTATGCTTTCTGCTCTGGCTATTATACAAGTTCGTACGGCACAACACCTGCCAGGTCCCTGCTTCGGGTATCTGCAGGATCTGGCAGGAGAACTTATCAGATCATTGCTATTCCCAGGTACTTGATTGCGCACACGGGAAGATTGTTGGTGCTCATCTACCGACGATGTTCTTCCGCTGTCTGCTGAGAAGCGCTGAAGCGCTACTATCCATAGAAGCTGCCTGTGTGGTTTGCTAAAACAGACGGCTATATGATCTGGTGACTGGCGGCAGATACATACACGCCACTTCACAACCTTCGAGCCATTTTGTTAGTTGTGGATTATTTTCGTGCACGCTCAAGATAGACCTGTGGTGTAGTCGCTCCTCGCCCCCTTGTCACCCGCCTGGAAGGACGCTGTTGATGATCATCCTAACCCCATCCGTGCGGACACGATTGATTACTCTCGTTTCTGGACCGCGAGAGCACGGGCTTTCTTCCGTACAAGGCAGCTCTTCTTCCGATACCCATAGAGCCGGTAAGCCATGAACCAGATTTCAACTTCGATCTTGATTGAACTTCGTCTGCCATTGGACCCATGTGTTGTACTAAATTGAAGACCGAGATTTTTGTTGGGACCTCTGTTTCTTGGATTGTAGGTGTGGCAATCGCGAATGTTGCCTTCTTCAGAGGTCTGTGGCGTTTGAGGTACGGCATAGATGTGGGTACATAGTGCCGCGAGAGTAGATCACTATGGCGCACTCGTCCAGGGGCCTGGGGCAAAATCCAAGTTTACTATACTGTCATGGGTCCAGCGAACCATGTCTGCGAGAAAAAGCACCTTCCTAAGCACGGGCACGAACAGCGAGATCTCCTTGCGCGTCGATCTGCCTACGACCGATCGACTGGTAGTCCGTCCACGGTGTCCTGGTAAAATTTGAGCTCGCTTTCACGTGCGACTGCAGGCGGCTCTAAATAACCGGCGATTCATCTATCTGGTCAGATGACCAAAAACACATACACGTCAGTCACCGAGCGAGGGCAACTTTCACGATTCGGCCCGTGAAGAAGTCGCAGAATTTCGGACTGTTTGAGAGAAACAGAAGCATCGTGACTTGGGCCAAGGTTGGCTCACGAGGTGTCGACAGGCATGTGTCTTGTAAGGACAGGCGTCCAAGGCCCCTAAGCGGGGGTAACGCCGTTGTGCTGCCGGCGCTAGGGTCGTAGCGGACCGCAAGAAGGCCCAACCTTAGTGTCACTCCTAACATGCACAATGCGCTTCCTATACCTTCAAGAATTCAGATAAGAAATCCTACACGATTAACCGGTGAAGCCATGGATTTGGCATCAATCAATCGGCTGATGCTCGCACATCACTGATCCTTTCGGCGCTACCCGCGCTTCCAATTCTCCGACTTCAGGCATTCGTGGCAGGTTGTGGGGAACGTCGATCGCCTAGGACACATGCACATTAGCCCACGTCCTGAAAGAATTTATCGCCTTACGTCTCAGGTATCAATAGCCAATCACGTCCGCTCGCATCATCGTCCATTGGTTAAGCGACGGCGTATATACCGCTTTATCTACCTCCGAAACAGGGTGGACTGGTCGAGCAAAATGCGGTCGGACCGTCTCGTAGGGACTATCATACACAGCTGTGATTCAGGGTCTGTCATAATATGGCAACAGCCGCGTCACGTTGCAGACTAGCTGTCCCTCCATCTTTTCCCCGTTGCAAACGTTGACTGACAGCTCGGCACAAACACCTGCATTTAACACTTTGGA